AGGCGGTGACCCCACAGGCAGCCTGTGCTTAAGCAGGCTTCAGGCAGGAGCTGTGGCTCCATGGAGAGAGGACCCCAGGCTGGAGCAGCTGTTCTGGCAGGTCTTGTGACCCCAGTGGGATCCAGGCTGGAGCAGGCTGCTCCTGAAGGACTGCACCTTGTGGGGGGACCCACTCTGTGGCAGTTCATGAAGGACTGCAGCTGGTGGGCAGGACTCACATTGGAGAAGTTGGTGGAAGACTGTCTAACTTTGGGAGGGACACCAGGCTGGAGCAGTGGCAGAGTGTGAGGAGTCCGCTCCTGAGGAGGAAGGAGCAGCAGAGACAGCGTGTGAACTGACCACAACCCCCATTCCCCATCTCCCTACCCTGCTGGTGAGGAGGATGGAGAGAAATGGGGAGCAAAGCTGAGCCTGGGAAGAAGGGAGAGGTGGGCAGAAGGGATTTTAAGATGTGGTTTTAGTTCTCTTTTTACTCTGATTTTGATTGCTGATATATTAATTTTTCCCAAGCTGAGTCTGTTTTGCCCATGATGGTAATTGCGGAATGACCTCTCCCTGTCTTTATCTTGACTCGTGGCTTGTGGCCTTTCCTTATGTTTTCTCTCCCCTGCCCAGCTGAGGAGGGGAGTGATGGAGCAGCTCTGATGGACATGTGCACACCAGCCAGGGTCAGCCACCGCAGTGACGTGGATCAGTTTGCTCAGGGCCATGTGCAGCTGGATTTGAACATCAAGGATGAAGGGTCCACAGTCTTTCTGGGCAACAGAGTTTTTTCCTTATTTTTAAGTGGTATTTCCTGTATTTTATATTTTGTGTGTGTCACCTCTCGTCATGTTGCTGGACAATGGACATGTGCACACCAGCCAGGGTCAGCCACCGCAGTGACGTGGATCAGTTTGCTCAGGGCCATGTGCAGCTGGATTTGAACATCAAGGATGAAGGGTCCACAGTCTTTCTGGGCAACAGAGTTTTTTCCTTATTTTTAAGTGGTATTTCCTGTATTTTATATTTTGTGTGTGTCACCTCTCGTCATGTTGCTGGACATGACTCTCAATAGCCTGGCTCTGCCTTATTTACCCGCTCCTCCAAGGGTATTTTTCTACATTGATAAGATCCCCCTGAGCCTCTCTTCTTGAAGATAAACAGTCCCAGCTGTCTCAGCCAAGCCTCATGTGACCGATGCTTCAATCCCTTTACCATTTTAGTTGCCCTTTGCTGCACTCACTCCAGTATGTCCATCTTTTCTGGTATTGGAGGGCCTAAAGCTGTATGCAGCACTCCAGATGTGGTCTCTGCTGACAAGAGCAGAGGGATAAACTCCCTCACTCTGCTGGCAGTGTTCTTTGGGAGGCCAGGATGCTTCTTGTTCCAGAAGTGTATTGGCTTATGGTCACCTTGTCCCATCCTCAGGTCCCTTTTTGTAAACCTGCATTCCAGACAGCAGACCCCCTGCCTGTATTCTTCCCCGATGCAGGACTGGGCATTTGCCTTGGTTGACTTTCATGGGGATTCTCTCTGCCCACTTCTTTGGCCCACTGAGGTACCTCTGAGTGGCAGCACAACCTTCTGGTGTGTCAACCACTCCTCTCAGTTTGGCATCATCTGCAAATTGGGTGAGACACTTTGTTCCATCAGCCAGCTCTTGTAGCGTATTTCTTTAAAAAGCAGTATCGAGTACATGAGAAGGGAAATCTGGGCTTTAGTCCTAGATCCACGAAAAAGGCCATTAAAGGTTGTGACTAATTATTGCTTAACTGGCAGCAGCACAGAGATGTCATAGCTAACAGTGAGCTGGGCAGGCACTGTGTGCAGGTTAATCTTCCTCCCATCTAAGAACATTGTAGTTGCATTTTGTGTCATTGTAACTCAGTTCGTAAGTCCTAATGGGACAATGTGACATGCTAGTTTGTATGAAGACTCCAGATTTGTATAGTACCTTTACTATTATTTTTTTTTTTTTATGCTTCATTCAGACCTGAGCTTGTGCAGAATGTGTCTGGGTGTGTCTGTGTCATAGCCCTAGCACTTCTTGTTGTAGGGTTAAATTCTGAAGTGCCAGTTCAGGTGACTGCAGCCCAGGTGTAGATAGGCTCCAAGGTACCTCTGTCAAATATTGCTGAATGACCTTCCCTGGTCTTTCAGGTATGTATATAAAGTGTTACTTAGTAAAACAAGTTACAAAGTACCCAGAACTGATACCCAGAAGTACCCGAAGTATACAGAACCTGAGTCAGGCACTCATTTGGCTCCTGATCCACAAAGGTACCATGGTTTTGAACCAGGGTGGGTGGAAAGGAGCTGTAGAAGCTGAGAGCACATTAAGTACTGCTTTCAGAAGCCAAAGTAGTTGCGGTTAAAGTAGTTAAGATCAAACCAGATGTATCCTTAAGTAGCTTTTGCTATTATGGATTTGAGCGTTGATTGTTGTAGCTGTAAAGTCTGCTCAGTTTTATCTTCCTTGTGCAGAGCTCTGTAACTAACCTTAGCAATTTCATAAAGCCCAAAGGTGTTATTTGAAAGATGGTTTTGGGCATACACTCATGACCATTCTGATACAAACTTTTGTTTTTTTCTGTACAGCCTATTGGTTTTCCAGAATGTTTGTTGGATATGAAGATGCTGAGGATAGTGAAGTGTATGAAGATGAAATTTATCATGAGGAGTCATCCAGTGAACAGAGTGTTGATAGTGAGGTGGAATTTCATCTCTATAGCCAGATCCACTATTCACAAAATCTTGGAGAAATCAGCACACTGGAAATGGATGAAGAAGCTGATGTTGCAGGAGTCACAAGTCATAGTTCAGTTTTAACTGAGAAACAGTACGAAGACAAGGAAACCACTGAATTAATTGATCATGGTGCTCAGCTTTCAGATGACCCTGATATTATCGTCTGGTCTGATACACCAGAAGAAGACAGTGTTTACAACTGTAAAGCAAAGAAGGCAACAAGCTGTTTAGCTCAGGGTAGAACACATACCAATCCAGGATCTTCCACACCAAATCAAGCTGAAGCTGCTGGATGTGATGTCCTGTATCCTGCTGGTTCAGGCACAGACATCTCAAGGCAAAGGAAAAGCACTAGTGGGAAGCCTAACCCTGTTAGTTCTGCTGCAGCTCATGCCATCCAAGACATGTTGTTAATAGATGGTAGCTCAGAGGAGGATAGTTTGATATCTGAAAGTGATAATGTAGAGAGCTGGATGCTTCTGGGAGCCAGCACTGATGACAGAGATGAAGATATAATGTTGAACCTTGAAGGTTGTGCAGCTTCTGTCAGTGAAGGTTAGTACTCTTTAATCACTGGTTTATTCTTCTGTATGAGGGCAGGTTTGTCTGCAACAATCCTGATGTCAATGCTTGGAAAGAAAGATAAACAGAAGGCAAATTGGAGTGTGTAATGATGGGTGCAAAAGGATGAAGAAGGAAATAGCTATTTATTTATACCACTTTAATACCATAATTTCAGTAGTGTCTTATATGGAAAGACAGCATTTTGCTGGTACAAATGTAGAAGTAATGGAAGAGTGATTAATGTTGTGAACTTTCCAACTTCCAGATGTATTTTGTATTCCTAAGAGCATATAAGAAGTTGTAGGGGGAGGAGTGGGAAATAACAAAGAATACAATGGTTTCATACTGTAAACAAAGTCAGTAGGAAAAAAACCTGTTTGAGAACTAAAGACATAACAGAAAATCAGAGTTAGGAACTGCATAACAGTAAAAAGGTTGCTGAAAAGTGCTGCAGGGTAGGAAACTAATCAGTGCTCATAAACCAGGGAGCAGTGTCACTCCTCTTATCATGTGATAAGATTTCTGCCCATCTGCCCCTGTCTGCCTTACCCCTCTGCAGTGCAGACACCAGTGCTAAGGCTTTGCTGTATGCTAGACCAGGGAATTTACAACTCGGGAAAGGAATTAACTGTAACAGGAGAGGGCAAGGCACAGAGGGGAGACCTTCTGAGCTGGTTCCCCTTCCAGCAGCAGATTCTGTAACCACTCCTTCAGAAATCTGGCAGTTTGGACGGTTGATCTAAAATTTACTGTAACTTCTTGTACGGATTCTGCACCGAATACTTCAGAGAGATTCCCAACCACTGTGACTAACATCTAACATTTTGGTATTTTGCAAAATATGCTTTTGCATTACTGCACAGTAAGTTAGTAAACGTGATGGTTAGCACAACAGATTTCAGATACGTTTGTAACACTCATACTGTGTAATATATACCTTGTCACCAGCAACTGTAAACTCTCTTAGGCAATCAGCCATGCTTTTTTCTTGCCCACCGGTTTCCCAAAGCACAAAGATGATTTTGAGAAACAAGATTCCCTGCCAGTCTAAGAGAAAGCACTACCTGAAGAAAGGCTGCCTCGCTGGCAAGTCTACCCAGATCAGCTGCAGTGCTGGGACCTTCACAAGACTTTCCTTTTTTTTTTCTCATTTAACAAAAATTATACCACAGTTTCACTTGGTGTACATGTAAATAAGGCGGGTTTGGGTGAAGGGAAATGAAATGTTCTGCAGCACTACAGGTTGATGCTAGTGAGTTTTTTCTTGGCATGGCCGTGAAAACAGTGCCACTCCATACTGCTACTAAGCTGTTCAAGAGCAGAAAGCTGAGAAATTATCGTTGCCCTCTCTTCTGATAAAACATGTGTTTCTTGCCCATAAATCTTCAGTAGCTTTTTACCTAGTGTTGTTTCTGTGTATGTTTCTGCATAACTACCCATGGTACATGGCCAAACAGGCTGTAGTGTGCACTTGATCAGGTGGTTGATAAAGTTGCCGTGTGTGTGCCCAGGCCTCAGAGATTTAAGAAATGCTTTCCCTATTCCCAGTGCAGTGCCAGAAGAGTGGCAGAGTATTCAGTTGCCAGGCCAGAAACCCAAACAGCCACATTACATTTGGAATTTATGTAATTTTTTTCTCCCTGTAGGTCTTTTAAAATGCAGTTGCTAAAATTAGCTTAAAGTTGCTAGGATTCATTAATGCCTTTATTTTTGTATTTTCATATCTTGCCTTTTTCTTTCAAACCACAGCTAATTAACTTGTTTTTTTCTTACATTACTCTGCCTGTTGGGAACAAAAATTTGTTGCTGTGTGGTGACTGTCGTAAGGGCAGTAGAGTTTGTGCATAGCACAGTTAATACATTTTCTGGGTAGTGTCTATGTTTCTCCTAACTGCTGGGCAGGAAAATAACCTGGAGTTAGGTTTATTTCGTTCAGCTTATCCTGTGTATCTCCTTGGATTTTTGTACCAAAATTGCTGATGGTAGTGCTAAACATTACCCAAAAATCCAGAAGATAACAGAAAAATGTTTAAACAGTGCTTGAGACTTGAAGCATATTTCAAACTTACATCTACACATTTTGGGAAACATTCTGTAATTAATTTATTGGAGTGATTATGCTTACTAGGTGTAACATGGAAATTAAAATTCATGTCGTCATTCTTTGTGCTTTTCTAATGAAGGTGTGCCAGTTCTAGCTGAGGCGGGGTTTTTAAAAATCAGTGCAGAAGTTTAATATCAGGAGACAGTTTGGTAACTTAAGCTATGTTTTTGTAACAAATGTAGTAATGTTTCTTATTCATGTATATATTTATCGATGTTGACAATAAGCAAGCCACATGCAAAGCAGGTAACGGGAGCAAAATCTTCCTGTGCTGTAGAAACTTGTCATACTGTTCAGAACTAAAATTGTTTCTTTTGACGTAGGCACTGTAAACATTTTCTGAGATGCTCAAATGGGAAGTCAAAGACAGTCACACAAGAGGCTCATAAATACAACTGTTGTTCTCCTGCTCTGGTTTTTATTCTCAAAGCTACATCAGAACCTCATCAAAACCCTCCTTGTGTTTTGCCTCACATCCATAGTGGTTTTGCCAACAGCAGCCTTGTCCCTGGAGGTGTGGGACGTGCAGAGCATGCAGCAGGCACTTGCAGCTGTTTGGCAGCAGGAGCTAGTTGTACACACGCATCTCTCTCCCTTTTGGCTGTTGCTTTTCTACATACGTATGACTCTGCAGAAAGCTTTTCACCTTTGCGCATTTCTTCCGACTGCGAACAAGTTAATGATGATCCATTTGACGTGGCTGCATGCGATGGGCAGAGCAGGGTGCCTAGGGCTGGCGCTGGCCCTGGCACAGGCATGACCTGAAGTGGAGAGCGTGCTGCAGGGCAGGCGCCGGTCAAAGCCTTGCTTCTCTACTGCATCCCAGATTCCCGTGAATGTTACTCAGGTAGCTCCCGAGTGCAGTTTGGTTCAGCTGCTCTATTTCTAGTACATATGGTGATGGGGATGCAAAGACACAGGCTTAAAATAAATCAGTGTTGTAGGGTTGTGCGTATCTAATGAAAAGGCAAAACAGCATCAAAACAGTTTTAGAGAACAAAAGCCATAAATCTTTCTAATGTAAAGTGACCATAATTTGTATTGAGCTTATGCAGCTTTTTATCGCCAGTTCTATAAAGGACTCCTTTGCTGAAATGTAAACATGGAAGTTTTACATCTGAAGGACGAAATGCATTTAAAAAATGTGTGTGTTGGCAAAGTACCCTCTCAAAGATATTCTCTGCTAATTCATTTAAATTATTTTGAGACATGAACAGTTCTGTTTTCAGGATTTCTAAAGAACGAGATCAAGTATTCAGGTGACTACACAGTATGTAAATTACTATTCTAGGGCTTGCAATATCAATGAGAGTGGATATAGAGTGTAGTGACTGGTGAAACCTTGCCTTCTCCCTTCTTACCCCAAAACTGCCTGTGACTGTAAATAGGATAGACCTGCGTGACAGTGTCATGGTGTGTCTAGTGTCCAGCTTCACATTAAAAGGGAACTGAAATATGAACAATTCTGTGACTATGAGAGTAGTCGGTTGTGTCAGTCATTTGATGAATCTCTTCTTATGTCTGAGTCCCTGAAATAGAGATGCCGAGGTCCCACTGGAGTCAGAAATAACTCCTCAAGCAGAGGAATTAGGCATATCTCCTTATTCTATTAACTCCTCTACCTCTTACTTGCCTGCCCTGCTCTTCCCTAACATCTTTATTGTTTTTAATATTCTATATCAACAATGCTTGCTTGTTGTTTCTAGTGCAGTCTTCTCCCCATGCTGCCTTCTAGCTTCAGGCACTGTCTGCTGTGACAGAAAGAGAAGTCCCTTTGCCTTGGGTAATGAACCCTGGTTCCTTATGATAAAGCAAGATTCCCCTGTGCAATTCTCTCTCCAGGTGATCCCTCAAAAGTTATGGCTAGTCCACAAACACTGCTGCTCAGTACACAGCGGAAGACTTTTCCACCCTTTCTATCCTCTTTCCAAATGAATTTAGATGCCTTTCTATTTTTGCATGTCTAATACCACATTTAGCAAAAAGGTGTTTCTGAAACACATTTCTATAAAATCCAACTTTCTGTCACATGCCTATTGGTTTCTCAGCTGACTGGCAACCTTTTGTTATTTGGGATATGAAGATGGGCACTGGCTTTCTTGTTTCACACGGAGGAGTGTTGGGGAAAGCATGTACTGTGTCCCTCCTTACTCTGACTTCGTTTTTCTGTGGTGAGGTTGTCCTAGCTTGTGAGCAAAGCAGGCCCCTGAATTACAGACCTAAATTAGAGACCTTGAATTACACAAGTACCCGTGTGTGTTACTTGCCCCACATCACCTGTGGGTTTCCTTGCGTGGCATTTGGAAAGGTGGGCACTCCTGCTCCTTATTACTTTGCAAATAGGATCCTACTCCATGTGGCATTAAAAAATTGCTAATTAATCAAATCTAGATCTTTTTATGATTTACAAGAGTGTAGGTATGATTTAGCTGATTTTTTTCAACATTCAGAGTCCAGAAGAAAGTGTGCAAAGAGAATTGTTACAAACCATACAATGTACTAAATCCACTGTATTTGCTTGTACTGTCGGAGAGTTTCCAGGCCTTTGAAGAAGGATTCTGCCCTCCCACACCTTTCCCCCACTTTGGAATAAGAGTATATATGATAACAACATTAATCTCCTGTAGTTGGAAGTCTTTCATCCATTGCTTCATTAAAAGCTCCCTTTTAGCATATTTCCTCTCCCATGCATAGCTGCAGCCCTAATCTCTGCTTTACTTTTAACCTCACCGTTTTTGAAACGACAGCTTTCAAAGCTGCAGCATTGATGTCCGGCCACTAAGGGGTACAAAAACCAATTTATCTTCTCCCTGTTTCATCTTTTGCCCACCCGGTACCTTCCTCAGAGACAATGGGATAATGTGATCACACTCTGGGCTTGGCAGGTTTGTG